GCTTTGGTCAATCCTGCACACGTCATTTCAATACGCCCCCTGCTCAAGAACGCGAACACGTCATCGTTGAAGTGTTCTGTCATTGGTGTACTCATTTTTTACCCACCTTGTTGGCGATAGGAATTCTTATGATTGGTCCTTTCTCGCCGTCAAGTATTCAGTTACGTGGTGCTAAACTGCACAACTTGCACAATTGCGCTAGACTACGATCTAGTGCAGCTGCGCAATTGCTGCAACTGCCATCTGCGCGCAATTGCTGGAACTGCCTCAAGCGCATCTGGGACATGCAGCACTGCAAGCGCAACTTTCCCCTCCCCCCCGCAACAGCTCAACCCACCCAGCACAAGCAGCAGCCAGCGCGACTGCGCAAGCGCAGCTGCTCTGCTGACGGGGCAACGGCAGCAGCAGCTGGTGCACCTTGCGCAGCAATCCTTCCCTTCTTCCTCTTTCAGCGTCCCCTTCCATCACTTCACGCATTTTTCAATCTTCTTTCCTCCCTCGCCTTCGTAACTCGTCTCTCTCCTCTGCTTTCCACCACGCTTAATGTCGATTAACAGGTACGTAGTATCGTTTCAATTCAAGTCATCGGTTTCTAGTAGCGATGTTATTTCACTCTTCGGCGCTTCGTTTTTACTGGTGCAGAACTGATTAATGCGTGAAAGCTCTGTCAAAATTAGAAGGAAGAAAGAGAATTGAACTAGCAAGAATGAGGATACAAATAGCAAACCCTAGAAGGGTTGTACTCGCTATAGAGCACCCCACTACAGGCTAGAACAATAAGATAATATTCTGACACACCCCCATAGCCAAAGTGGGGTGTAATCAGCAGAGCAGGCAAAGCAAAACAAGCTCAGGGTGGATCACAATGTCACCACACATTCTGAGCACAAGTTCAAGAAGAAATAGTTTAGAGTTCACAATTATAAGCAAAGCTAGTGGTAGTCACAACGGGCAAGTGAGGAGGAGGAGGGAGAGTGAGGGGAGAGGAGACAGGAGGCGACGGCTGAAGCTGCAGACACACGGGCAACAGGAGGCAGACTGGCTCAGCGGCTACCGGACAGCGCCCGGACTACAGGAGTAACAGGCCCCGCGGCTCAAATAGCGGCGGACGGGCAACGGACCCACGGGCGGCTGGCACAGCTGGCTACGACTGGGCTACCGGGACAGCGCCCCGGACTACAGGTGCTGCTGACGACAAACTGGCAACCTCCGCTCATCCTCCCGCACACAGTCCCACCCCCCTGATACACACCCACTGCTACACCACTAGCTCTACTCCCACGCACCCCCCTTAAACCCTAAACCCAGTCTCCCACACAACCACCCCCCTCAGCGACAGCTGCAGCAGTGGGAGACGAAGGAGGAGGAGGAGAAAGGGAGGAAGGCACACCGACCACCCCCATACCCGCCACCCCACAGCTCGCCCCTCCCGTCGTCCGTCGTGGCGACCTGAGGGGGCCGCTTGCGGCCCCCGAAGGAGCCGCGACGGGCGACGGGAAATGGCAGGGGGGGGGGGGGGGGGGGGAGGCGGTGTGGTGAAAGGGGCCCACCACGAGCCTGGTTGGAGGGCGGGGCCGCGACAAGGGGCGGGGCCGCGACGAGCGGGGCGGGGCCGCGACGTAAGGCGGGGCCGCTTCGAGGGGCGGGGCCGCGACATAGGGCGGGGCCGCGACGTAGGGCGGGGCCGCGACGGGCAGGCGCACGGGCGGCGACGGGCCGGGGCGGGTCCGCGACGAAGGGCGGGGCCGAGCCGGGCACGCGCACGGGCGGCGACGGGCCGGGGCGGGTCCGCGACGAAGGGCGGGGCCGAGCCGGGCATGCGCACGGGCGGCGACGGGCCGGGGCGGGTCCGCGACGAAGGGCGGGCCGCGTCGAGCGGGCGCACGGGCGGCGACGGGACGCGACGTAGAGGAGAAGCCCGCCGCACGCCACGGGGCGCACAGCGGGCAATGAACCGCCGCGCGCCTCGGGGCGCACGGCGGGCAGAAAACCGCCGCGCGCCTCGGGGCGCACGGCGGGAGGAAAAAGTAGCAGCGGAAGCAAGGTGGGGACACACCCACAGGATCGATCCAAGGGGATCGACCTGCTCTGATACCATGTCAAAATTAGAAGGAAGAAAGAGAATTGAACTAGCAAGAATGAGGATACAAATAGCAAACCCTAGAAGGGTTGTACTCGCTATAGAGCACCCCACTACAGGCTAGAACAATAAGATAATATTCTGACAAGCTCTGCAACACGTCCGACGCGAGCGTCGCTTCTCTGCTGTTTCTTCTTTCCTGAAACTTGTGATGGGTTCGCATTTCAGTCATTCGACTGACTTGTGTCTTCTGTGCTGATTTCGCAGACCATCAATTCAAGCAGTACCCGAGACTAGATGTGATTTATGGTGGCGTTGATGCCTGTTCGCAATTCTGTTAAAAAAAAAAACAGCTTTCTTTCCGTGGTAACTGTGCAGCTTTTTTCTATTTGAAGTAACGTGATTTAGTGTTTTCCCTTTTGTTATGCTACTGCAGGAGCAGCAGCTACTACGGCGTTCTGTCATGCTGTTGCTGCAGCAGCAAAGGCAGCATGTTATGGGTCTTATCCTTGCCTTGATGTGATCTTGTAGTGTGCATAGACCAGCAGCAAGGTTTGCAGGTTACCGTATTTTGTGTACTAGTATGTGCTTCCTATCTGTGCTTTACTTTTAGATCTTATTAGGTATTGTGTTAAGACCCATTAACTCTCTGTTGTATGTACTGCAATAATAATACATATTATGTGAAACATTGAAACTTACTCCAGAAATATATTTGGTGCAAATTAGTATCGACTGGGAAAAGGGTTTTATTGATATAAAATTGTTGGTAAACATTTATCGGAATTGCTTTTCTTCCGTGTACCACCTTTGCACAGTGTAGTATATGTACAGTAAAAATTATCAAATTTATTGCTGGGGAAATCAGTTTTGACCGAAGCGCGATGGTGGTGGAAATCCGCCGGAAACAATCTCTGCTTTCCGATTTAAGTCATAGAATCCCTCCGAGATGGAAATCCGATGGAAAATCTAGTGACACTACCAGCGCGCCACTCGGTGGAATTCCGTCGGAACAAGTTGAGTGTTTTTCGACGGTTTTCCATTGGTTGGACAGAAAACCGAACCTAAACCGCCTGTTTTCCGGTCCGGTTTTTTGTGATGTCCCTTCCAAACCACCGCCTCATGTTTTGCGTGCTCACCAGGAAGCACAAGCGTCGCAAATACGAGATCGCATTTTTGCGCCAAATACTTCTTTCTCCTCGAAAGCTAGATTATATCGAATATCTTAGGCGCATGACAATAGCAGCAGAGGCGGACACCCGTACTAGACGAGCCGTAACCGCGTTCAGCGCGGCGCATTATCATGGGTTTCTCAACGCGGAACCCCCAACGGCGTAACCTGCGGCAAATGCAGCGCCAATGCCGGCAGCAGCGCTGGGAATCAGCCGCAGTAGGAGGCACGGAGCGAGAAAAACGACGCGCTGCTGATTCGAATTGTAGTAACGGGATATCAGCAATGACATTATGTTATAATCATGATGTGTCGAGTAAGATTCGTCAGACACGTGTCAGCAGCGTCGACGTCCACTTATCGACGAAAAAATCCACCTCAGAGTTGACGAACGTGAAGGTGTGTCTGTCGGAGCTGTTAAAAAAGGGCGAAAACCGTGAGCCCAGCGCGACGCGCGGCGCCAGCGACAGACGCATCGCCGCTGCCGCGGCAAGAGCGGTCGGAGCAGCAGGCGCGACGAAAGCAGCAGCGGCGGAGATCGGATAAAGAGCCGCAACGGCGATTGACGAAGCCTGCTAAACGGAGCCCGCAGCAGCAGCAAGAGAAATCAGCAGCAGTCCGTCGCCGCGCGAATAACTTATTCGACGCAAGGCGCCGCCGCTTGCTGCAATAGGACGGAAACCGCAGCGTACCGCAGCAAAGCAAAAGTTGTTCGCAAGAACGCGACTCGTGCTCGGTATCGAGACCTTCAAGAAAGCGCCGCCGCGGCACTCAAACCGTCCCTCCCGCCGTCCCTTCCGCCGTCCCTCCCGCCGGACTGTCTTTCCCACGCGCTCGCCCTTCTCTCCCACCGCGCCATCTCCGCCGATCATCTCCGCCGCACAGGCCAGGCGTGCCGCGAATGGCGCCGCGCTTACCGCCACGCCGTGCAGCATCTCTCCCTCGCTTTCGACCCGCTCCAGCTCCGCTGGAGGCCCGTGCTTCGCGGCGCCGAACGCGCAGGCGGATCCAGCAACTGTTAGGGTTGGTTCGCCCAACCACGGAACCTAAGGCGAAAGCATCTACGACGGCGAAATGGAAGCGCGTGTGTGAAACGGTGGAAATCGGCCTACGGCGTGAGAAGGGAGAGAGAAATCGAGAAGGAATGTGTGAGAAGGTGGAAGAAGCATCGAGATTGAAGTTGGCAAGGGGAAATTGTGGTTCGAGCTCGAGGGGTGTTCGAGAAAGTTCAAGATTCGGTCTTGAGGAGTATTCACCGAATTCGGTTCGGTTGCGTGTGCGACTCAGGGTGAGACGAGGCGCACGCGGTTACTTGGGAAACAAGTGAAGTTACGAATCGCATTTTGTGTCTTGCCTGACTATAAAACTGCTTGTACTCATTCTGGAAATCATACCAATCAGATTTTGAAAATTGCTGAAGTGTGTATTGACAACTTCAAGCAGAGCTGCGCATATCATTGGATTCGGGAGATCGTGGAGAACACAATAGGCGATAGAAAGTAGACTATTGCCGACTAAGGTGCTTACGATCCTAAGAGCAACGGCGCCGCGAGCAGCGGCGCCAGGGTCGACGGAACGCTCGGCGGCCGCAGTCATGCGGCACGGCAAACTAACGGAGAGGCTGAACCCAACGAGGCGTGGGATCCGATTCCGACGAACAGCAGCAGCTGCTGCAGCGAAAGCGGCGAGTGGGATCCGTGGTCGTCGGCGCTTTGGGTGCTGGACGACCCGTCCGCATGGCAGCTTGGAATGGCCGACTCGGACCCCCCATTGAGCATTTCCGCGCCGTTGTGTGACGACCCTGCTGCGCCGCCTCCTACCACTCCTCCTTCTCCTATTTCTGCTTCTAGTACTTCTTTTCTTTCTAGAGTCGCCAGCAGGCGGCGGTTCGCGCGGCGGGTGCTGCAGATGGAGCGGGATGAGGGCCACGAGTGCCACCCGACGAGAGAGGAGCTGCGGGTGGGATACCACTGCATGGTCGAGCACGACCAGTGGCTGCATGTGCACGGAAACTGCTGGCATGCTGATATGCCGTCTGTCCAGCAGGTGACTGAGCTTCTGCAGCAGTTCCCGAATCTTGCGTCTGTGCGCGTGCCACTGCGTGGTGACGTGGATTTGGGCCCGGGTGACGTCAGGACGGTGCTGGACGCGGTGGCGGGGCTGGGGGCGCTGAGGAGCTGCCACGTGCAGGCTGACGTGGCGGGATGGATGGAGCGGGAAGAGCGATGTGGGCGGCGGGATGAGGAGACGGAGGAGGAAGAGGAGAAAGAGAAAGAGATAGCACGAGAGTGGGAGAGGCGGTGGGCTGAAGAGGATGGTATAGTTGTAAAGGTTGCAGCTAGAGAGCTGGTGGCAAGGCGTGGGAGAGAGATCAGGCGAGAGAGGAAGGAGGCGAGGAGAGAACAGGAGCGGCAGCAGCGGCGGACGGAAATGAGCCGCGCTATTAAAGCAGGGCTCTTAGGTGTGGTCTCCAGGTGTAAGCGACTACATTCGCTGCATCTTCAAGGCGACGGCTTGGCCTCGTTCCTAAGCCTCTCTCCTTGGTTCTTCGATCACTGCCACCGCATCCAATCCCTCTCCCTCCCTCTCTCGCACCTCCCTCACTCCCTCCTCTCCCTCCCCCGCCTCACCTCCCTCAATCTCGCCCTCGGTGCTGGTAACAGCGGTAACTATGGTAACAGCGGTGACAGTGGTAACCGCAACTGCCTGCCAGCTGTCCTCCTGTCTGGGTCACCCTTCAGTGCACTCAAATCTCTGAAAGAGCTGCAATTGAGGCTCAGGGTGGCTGGGAGGGGGGCTCGCCTGTCTCCTGATCTGTTTCTCGGGCTCGAGTCTCGGCTGCAGAAGCTGATTCTGCTGCACACTCCCTACAGCAGTGGCGATAGCGACGGCAGTGGCAATGGTGGCAATGGGGAGCGTGGGGATGGTGACTATAGCGAGGTGGTTATGGTGATGCACGGGTCCGCCTGGCGTCTGTCGCAGCTGCAGGGGCTGGAGACGTCGTTAAGAGTGCCGTTTGACGACGACCAAGAGGAGTTCGAGGAGGGGCGTGGCGTGTGGAGCCATTATCTAGGACTCACAGAGGAGGTCCCGGAGGAGGAGGGAGAGGAGCAGCAAGGACTTGCACATGCCCCAGCCGCAACAGCAGTCGGAGTAACAGCAGCAGGAGTAGGAGCAGCAACAGCAGCAGGTGGGCCAATTCGAGGGCTGGCCTCGTTGCCGCTCCTCTCCTCGCTCACCCTCCGCTCCTCCCTCGGCCTTCCCCCATCCATCCGCCACCTCCGCCACCTCACCCGCTTCCTCGCCCCCAAAGCCCTCCCAGACACCTCAGACGCCCTCCCCCTCCTCCCCAACCTGCAAGTCCTCTCCATGACGGCGGACGGAATAACCGCAGGCGCGCCTCTACCCGTGTCTCTGCGCCGGCTACAGCTGCGCTACAACCAGTGCAGCCTGCTGCACGCTGCAGGGCGGGCAGCCGAGTCAGTGGAGCACCTGGAAGTGACAGCAGTGGGGGCAGGGGGGCAGGACTCGTGCGTGTACGGCGACTTGGTCCCCACGCTTTCCCCACACCGCTGGGACCCAGCGTGGAGGGGCGAGGGAGACCGGTTCTTGTTCCCGAACCTCCGAGAGATGATTGTGACCAAGTGCTGGGGGGGTGCTATGGAGGTAGACATGGGTCCCCTGCCAAGCCTCACACACCTGTCGGTGTTTTGGTCCGTGCGACTGCATGGGATCGACCAGGGATGGTACTCTAACCTCCGCTACTTGCACTTGTATCAGCCGCTTCCCGATTGCCACTGGGAAGGGAAGCCCGGGGGGGAGCTAGGCTCGAGTAATCTCTTCTCCCACCTGCCGAGCCTCCACTCGCTAGTGGTCGACAATTGTTGCCAGCTGGGCGGCAGGGAGATGCTCGCGTCCCTGTCAGCGCTGACTCAGCTGCACACGCTCGGCCTGTCCGTGATCCGGAATGACATGTGGACATTAACTTGTCGCACCGAGGTGCCTTGGTGGGCCTGGGACCACGGCCTTGAGGCCTATTACCAGAACAACACTCAAGTGATCCACTTAAAGCCAGAGATTGCCTGCCCGGCGTCCCTCCGAGTGCTGCAAATCGCCAAGTGCGACCTGCCCTTCCTCCCTGACTCCCTCGCCTCTGCCACCGCTTTGACTGAGTTGACTCTGCACCACTGGACTAACCTCCAAACGCTGCCGTCCTTCTTTTCCTCCTTCACTGAACTGAGGAGGATTCGGGTGACTGGGTGTGGGGAAACGAAGCCGAGTGCGCCCCCCGGCTTGCTTCCCCAGTTGAAGGATAGGAACTGGTTCCATTCCGTGGACTGTGATGGCTGTAGGGAGCTGCACAAGCGTGAGCCGTGCGGTGAATGAGGCGCCCAGCTTGCTTCTGACAGGAACTGGGTGTCAAATGTTGTAGCCTGTAGTGAGGTTTGTCTTAGGGGGTACAGAAGTTAGGGTTTGTCATATGTACCCCAACCAACATCAATGCAACACTCATTCCTCATTCTGACATGGTATCAGCTAGGTTAGGATCCTGTGGGATCCCGTTCCTCCGTTCTCCGTTCGTACCTCCCGAGCCTGATCCTACCTCTCGTTCGTACCAGTTTCGTAGTTACCGCGCCTAGTACCGAGCCTAGCGTCATCTCCCCCGTCGCGTCACGCCTGTTCCCCCCCCGTCGCGTCACGCCCGTTCCCCCCTGTCACGTCGCGCCCGTTCCCCCCGTCGCGTCGCGCCCGTTCCCCCCGTCGCGTCGCGCCCGTTCCCCCTGTCGCGTCGCGCCCGTTCCCCCCCGTCGCGTCGCGCCCGTTCCCCCCCGTCGCGTCGCGCCTGCCTGTTACCCCCCCCCCGTCCCGTCGCCCTGTCCCGTCGCGTCGCCCTGTCCCGTCGCCCTGTCCCGTCGCCCTGTCCCGTCGCGTCGCCCTGTCCTGTCGCGTCGCCCTGCCCTGTCCCGTCGCGTCGCCCTGCCCTGTCCCGTCGCCCTGTCCCGTCGCGTCGCCCTACCCCGTCGCGTCGCCCTGCCCTGTCCCGTCGCCCTGCTCCGTCGCGCCGCCCTGCCCCGTCGCGTCGCCCTGTCCCGTCGCGTCGCCCTGCCCCGTCGCGTCGCCCTGACCTTTCCCCCGTCGCGTCGCCCTCCCTAGGCCCTGGCCTGTCGCCCTTCCTAGGCCCTGGCCCGTCGCCCTACCCTAGGCCCTGGCCCGTTGCCCTACCCTACGTCTTGGCCCGTCGTCCTAGCCCACTCTTCCGCTGCGACTGAGTCCTCTTCCCCCCCCGGTTGTTACTCGCCTGTTCGTTCTCACTATGGCGACTCCGCGAGTTCTTCGTTTCGACGCCGACGGTAGACCCCTTGACTTTTCCGTCTGGCTTCTTCGCGCTCGTCGTCTGTTAGAGAGTCAGGTCCAGGGGGGCGAGACCCTCTGGTCACACGCTACTGGTGACCTCCCCGAGCCCCCCGAGCCTACAGCTTTAGGCCCTGCTCCTGACGATGCTGCTACGGCTCGCTTTGCCCGTCAGCGCGCTGACCGGACGGCTTGGACGTCGCGTGACGCTGCGGCCTGCATCGCACTCAGCAGCCTCCTCCCTGAGTCCGAGGAGGTCCACTTTACTCAGGTTCGCACCGCTGCTGCGTACCTCACTGCGATTAAGGCCCGCTACTCTACTCCCGCTACTGTCTCTCTCGGCCGTCTTTTCCTCCCGTTCCTGTTTCCTGATCTTGCCTCGTTTGAGCGCTCTGCTGACTTGATCGCTCACCTCCGCTCGCTTGACGCTAGTTACCGCGCTGCTTGCACTGAGGCACAGCTTGCACTGCTTCCTCCCCCCATGGCGATTACTGTCTATTTCATCGCCACTAGCCTCCCTGACCGCCTTGCCTCCGTTCGTGACGCGCTTCTGCTGAAGCACCCTAGTGAGCTGACTATCGAGGTCCTTGAGTCTGCACTCAAGGATGTCGAGAGCAACCTTCGTTCGGTAGCTGCCGCCTCTGGTACTGTATCCCCCCCACTCTTCCACGGGTGCACAGTCCCGCAGTTACCCACCTTCACTGCCTCTCTTGCCACTGCCGCTACTGACGCGACTGCGGCTGCTGTTACGACTGCGTCGCGGTCCCGCGGCAGGGGGGGCAAGAAAGGTGGTTCCGGTGGAGGTGGAGGCGGAGGTAGCGGAGGTAGTGGGGGTGCTGTTGCGACTGGCGGTGGTGGGAGTGCAGCGTCTGGAGAGACCCCTCGTGCAGCGGCCGGTGACTCCACTGCACCTGCTGGTGGCAGCGACCCTCGAGCTCGTCAGTCGCCTCCTGTACTGTCGGCCCCGCTAGGTGGAGCAGCGGCGTGGTACCAGGCTCAGCGTCAGCAGCACCTTCAGCAGCAGCAGCAGCCCCTTTCCTCCCAGCAGCCTCAGCAGCAGCAGCGTCAGCAGCTGGCTCCGGGGTCGGGGCTGCGTCAGCCCCAGCGCGGTGCTGCTTACCCTCCCTGCCCCTACCAGGTTCAGACAGGTCCTCGTCGGGGCCACCCTTGTGGCCGCTTTCACCCCCCTGGTCAGTGCTTTGCTCAGCTCACTGACACGGTCCGGTTGACCTACGGGGTTGGCGGTCCTGCTCCTGACTGGCTTCCTCTGGTTCAGCGCTACGGCTCCGCTCTGTGGGGCATGTCTGCTGAGCAGTTAGTTGATCTGATTAGTGCTCCTCATGCTATGTATGCTGTTGTTGACTCTAGTGTTTCTGACTCTGTTTACTCTGGTGTTGTTAGCTTAGGTGCTAGTCTTGCTGAGTTGCCTGTTGCTAGTGTAGGTACTTGTGTAGACTCTAGACCAGCGACTACCTCAGAGGACGCTTCGCTGTCGTTCACACTGGACTCTGGAGCCTCCCACTGCTTCTTTCGGGACAGCACGACACTTACACCACTTCCTGCGCCTGTTTCTGTAGCGTTGGCTGATCCCACTACGGGACCAGTCACTGCACGTCACACTACCACTTTACCGTGTCCTGCTGCTCCCTCCGGGTCTCTCACTGGGTTTCACGTCCCCTCGTTCTCCCGGAACTTGGTGGGCGTGCGACCCCTCGTGAGCCAGCACGTGGGTGTGTGGTTTGAGCCTTCTGGAGAGACTGCGGTGTGTGTTGACGGAGACTCTTACCAGCCTCTTGCTACCTTTACTGCTGAGCCGGGCTCGGGTCTCTACACTCTTCACACTGGCCCGCGTGCGCCGCAGCAGCAGCCGCAGCAGCAGCAGCAGCCGCAGCCGCAGCAGCAGCAGCAGCAGCAGCACCAGCGGCCGCACCAGCAGCCCCCCCTACTGCCACTGCCCCCGGTTCCCCCCCCCGTTCGGGTCCCCGCGTCTCACCAGGTTGCTACGTCCCCCCAGGTGTCTGTGTCGTGTCAGGTTCCTCCGTCTGTTCCAGTCGCTGCGTCGTGCTCCTGCCGGTCGCTTGCCCACCCCACCGTTCTGTGGCACCACCGGATGGGGCACCCGTCCCTTCCACGTCTGCGCGCTATGTCTAGTCAGCGTCTTGTCCTAGGCCTCCCACGTGTCTTGCCGTCGCTGCCGCCTTCGCCTGCGCCGCCGTGTCGTCCCTGCGTCGAGGGTAGGCTGCGCGCCACCCCTCACTCCTCCTCCCTTCGTCCGGCCACCGAGCCTTTTGAGACGCTTCACTTGGACGTCTGGGGCCCAGCCCCTCGTCTAGGCCCTGAGCGTGAGCGTTACTTTCTGGTGGTCGTTGACGACTTCTCCCGCTACACCACAGTGTTCCCTCTGGCGAAGAAGTCTGAGGTGACTTCTACGCTGATCAGGTGGTTGCTCACCACCGAGGACACTCGTGGTCGTCGTGTCAGCTGTCTCCACTCCGACCGTGGGGGTGAGTTTCGCTCCGGCATTCTCGCTGGATTCTGTCGCGAGCAGGGCATTCGTCAGTCCTGGACGCTTCCAGAGTCCCCACAGCAGAATGGGGTTGCTGAGCGCCGCATAGGCCTGGTCATGGAGATCGCCCGCACCTCCCTGACTCACGCCTGTGCCCCCCATTTTCTGTGGCCCTACGCGGTCAGGTACGCCGCGCACCAGCTGAACCTCTGGCCACGTGTCTCTCGACCCGAGGTTTCACCGACCAGTCTTTGGACAGGGTTCCCTGGTGTTGCGTCGCGGTTTCGTGTCTGGGGGTGCTTGGCTCTTGTCCGCGACACCTCCGCGGACAAGCTCTCGCCTCGTGCCGTCCCCTGTGTCTTCCTTGGTTTCCCTGAGGACTCCTCTGACTTCACCTTTTACCACCCTCCCTCTCACCGGTTCTTTGACTCCCGTGACGTCCGTTTCGAGGAGTCCACTCCGTACTACGTCAGGTACCCCAGTCGAGGTCTCCCGGTTCCTCCTCCCCCCCTCTTCCTGACTGCCGTTCCCCCTCCTGCTCCCCCGGTACAGCCTCCCCCCCCTGGTCCAGCCCCGTCAGGTGTGTCCCAGGCTACCCCTCCTCCTTCGGTAGCCCCTCCGGTACAGCCTCCCTCCCCACAGTCCTCCTCGCAGCGTGCCGCTGGTGCTAGCTCTCGAGAGGTTGGTGCGACGCCTGTTCCTGTACCGGTTTCTGGTTCTGGGGGTGCTGGAGTTAGAGCTGGAGTTGGAGCTGGAGTTGGAGCTGGAGTTGGCACTGGAGTTTCTGGTTCTGGGGGTGCTGGAGTTGGAGCTGGGGTTGGAGCTGGAGTTTCTGGTTCTGGAGTTGGAGCTGACCAGGTGGGTGCAGAGGACGCTTGTCGTCCGGGAGCTGGTGCTGGCCGCGCGGACACTGGGGGTGCTGCGTCTGGGGGTGAGGGTGCGCCTCCTTTGGGTTCAGGTGAGCCTGGGTCTGGAGCTGGTGTTAGTGCTGCCTCTGGGGGTGGTGAGCCTAGTTCTTCTGGAGTGGACTCTGGAGCTGCCGCTGCTTCGGACACTACTCCGCCCCCCCACCCCTACCCGACTAGGCACCAGGCTCGTGTTCGCCGTGCCCGTGACGATCAGCTGGCGTTGGAGAGAGAGGAGAGGGAGTTACAGCGGCTGGAGGAGCAGCAGCAGCAGCTGGACCCGCAGGAGCAGCAGTCCCAGCAGCAGCCGCGTCCGCAGCAGCAGCAGTCGCAGCCGCAGCAGCAGCAGCCACTTCCTCCTCCTGTCTCGGGTCTTCGGATCCTTGGTCTCCCCTCCCCTTCTCCTCCCTCCTCCGCCTCTCCTCCTGTCTACGGTCCCACGTTTCCTCCTCCTGACTCCTCCCCCGCTGTTTTCCCCAGTTCTCCGCCCTTGTCCTCTTCTCCTCCGTCTCGTTCTTGGGCTACTCGTCGCTCCCCTCGTGCTCGTCCCTCGTCTCCTGTTCCCTTCACTGACCTTCGTACTGCCTTCCTTCTTTCTAGTCCACCTCGTCCGTCTCAGTCTG